GGAATGCATGGCCTAACAATCCAGGTATTGATTGAGTAGCGGCATTTAAATCAGAACGGGAGATAGTATATCTCTGAGAAGTGATAGGTGCAGAAAACAGCTCAGCATCAAACTGGGGATTTAGGGATGTGGGTTCAAAGTAAGGAAGGGAGGCTAAGAAGAACCTCTAAGAGAAGGTAATGCCCCCAAGCTGAAAGTGGGGTAACCCGCCTTAATTCGCGATGACAAGGTGGGAGGGGAGCGAGTTTTAGGCGGGTATCTCAGAAAAGGTATGTGGGTGTTGTAGGAGAGGACCAGGGGTGACCCGTGGCTACATGCTGCATCGATAAAGCCAGGACCCTGGGTCGGGGTCCGAAGCTCCTAGTCTGGGAATGCCCAGCTTGAGCTCGCGGGAAGAAGGCACCTCCGCCAAAGGGCCCTGGTCCTCAGGCCTGAACTCTTCAGGCAGGAGGGTCCCCGAGACGGGGCCTGGAACGCGACTAGTGATGCAGGGCCTCAGGAGGGGTCTCGGACTCACGCATCAAAGTGCTGAAGGCCACGACGCCGAGCAGACCCTGCAGGAAGATGCCAAAACTGTGCATGAGCGCGCCGCTCTCGCAGCGGCCCGCCCCGGACGCGACGGTGGAGGGCGGCCCGCCCGGCAGTCCGCGGCTCACGTTCCCAGCGGGGCCCTGCATGGCGGGCCTGGCGGAGGGACGCCAGGCGCCCCGGCCCGCACGGCCTCACTGCCTGCGGGGGCCGCGCCACCGACCCCAGAGCCGGGAACCCGGAGTCCAAGCCGGGAGCCGGTACCTCCGGCCCGCGGCCCCCACGGCGCCGCGCGTAACCCGACGTCTGAGATCGCAGCGCCTGATTGGCCCTTCCCGGCGTGGGGCGGGCCTCTGCCGCTCCTGCACTCCCCATCGAGGGGTGGGGCCCCGACCGGACGAGGGGTCGGGGTTGTGAGTCCCAACTACAGGTAAGACAGGCCAGGTGCGCCCGCTGAGCAGACCCTAGAGCAGAGATCGGAGAGCGATCCCTGGGACTCCGAGCGTCAGGGCAGGAAGGCAGGAGCAGGGACAGTCTGTGACTAAATTCTTTTTCCCAACAAGATAAATCCCTCATACCCTGCAGAATTTATTAAAAGTACTCCTGGCTTCCACCCTCAGATTCCAATTCAGTAGTTCTGAGGCAGGGCCGAATAATCTGCATTTTCAGCAAGCGGCCTCTATTTTTCTGAAGCAGGTGGTTGAGGAAAACAATCCAAGACTCTGCACAAAGGCATAAACTTCCCAATCCAGACGTTCAGCGTCCTTCTACTTTCCTTTTTAGTACCAATATCCTGACAGGGGTCAACTTACAGTCACCAATCAGGCCCTAGTCGACGTTTTTCTTTGCTAATTGTAATTTAAATGATCATTTCAATCGAATTGCCTTCACTTAGAAATATACAAGGTTTATACTGAAAATATGTGAATATATCCCTATCTTTATTTGAACGTGACTCATAAAAGAAAGTCAACTTGTTGATATTTGCGAGTCCCAACACCTCCCTCCACACATGTATCCTTATTCCTGCCTAACCTTTTCTGGCTTCTTGGAATCTACTTTCTACCTCTAGGAGGGTCTCTAGTCCTTGTTTCCTTATCTACCCTACCCAGTCTCCTCTGGTTTCTCTCTAGACACCTCTTGATGGTGCTCCCTGACCTTCCTGCTACATCCACTTAATGCTACTGTACACATGGCATTACACATGCCAGTAGACATCGGGCTACATTTATGGGGCAATAAATACCCTATCTAGGGAAATTTAAGATAGCCACCAAGACATTCCAATTACATAAAAGGGTTAAATGCTATACAAAAGCTTTCTTGGTTAACTGGGCTATTTACCTGATTATCCAGAGAACAAAAATGCTATTGGCTCCGTAGAGCATATTCTCCAGTCCTTCTCTTAAAACTCAATTTCATACCTCTGTGCCTTTACACAGCATTTTCACTGCATGGAATACTATTCCCTTTTCCCTGCTCCATGAACTGCTACTCATGCTTCAGCCTGACCACCCTCTCCACACTGCACTTCTACATTACCTTGTGTGTGCTACTCCACTAGAACTTTTCAGACTTAAGTTAGACGGCAGTACACGGTTCTCTCATAGCTGAGTGTGAGCGAGCCTTCTGAGGGCAGGAACTAGTTTTTATTCACCGTTGAAGCCAACATAATTGCCTGGCACAGAGAACATGCAACGAAGTGTGTTTTAATTAAATTGAAATTTTAATTTATAAAATTTAAAACTCTCCACAAGTATTAACCATGGGAGCATACAGAAAATCAGGTGAAGAAAATAAATAGGTGAGGGAAATTTGCATTATTGTCTTTAAGTCTAAGAAGGTCTCTTAAGGGGATGCTCAACAGTTACAGTCCACGTTCAGACAGAACCCAACAAGAGAAGTACATAAAGCAGAAGAGACTGTGGTTGGGCATAAGACTATTAATTGCTTAAAGACACAGACAGATCAAGGAAAATTTGCACATAGAGCTGAAAGATGAAGTTTTTGACAAAGCACTGCTCTGCACATCCAGATGTGGAGGAATCCTTAATCCCATTTCTGTTGTTACAATGGCAAATATATTGGAACAAGAAGCAGTCTTCAGAGATCAGGAGCAGAGTCTCCAATGTCAGGAGCAAAGCCACTGTGGGGACATTCTGCTCTTTCTACCTTTCCTGAACTGCAATAGAACAAAAAAGCACCTTAATCTGGAGAGAGAAAGAAAAAAAAGAGACAGCAGGAGAGGGGAGAGAATTCTGGAAAGGTTCCTTTTATTAAAGTAAGAAGGAATTTTCTCCTCCATTCACAGGTAATTCTTTGAGGCCCCACTGAAAGTTTTTTGAAGGATTTACTCTGGCCAAGATGCCTTCTTGCTGTCAAATGAAGATAAACATAGCTAAAGACCTGTTTTAATTTTCTCACAATCACTTAAAACTGCCATAATATACAAGTTTATATACACTTTTATTTACAAAAAAAAACCAACACAAAAAAACCCCCCAAAAAACCAAAAAAAACCACACAAAATATTCATCCAAAAGTTACTTTTTAATCCCTTGAAATATCATCAAACTTGGTGGAAGTTTTTTTTAATAGGTATTCTTGTGCATATTTCTCCTTATACTTTATCCTCAATGCATAACTTTTAAAATTGAGAAAAACAGCAAGCAGGAAGGATACAATGCAATATGCATTTCATTTTGTTCCAAACAAGCAGCTTAAAAAAACGGGGGAGGGGGGAACATACATTAAACAAAGTGCATTAGTTCCAATGAGTTAGTATTAGAAAGAGGCCCAAGGACAGTGCTGGAACCAGCCAGAAGTCCCATCCTGGCAGGCCTCTGATTGTCTTTAGAAAATACTCAACCCAAGAAAGGAAGAAAGGGAAAGAAATGAGCACTTTAAAATCGCAAGAGAAACACACAAACTGTACTTCCCTAGGCTTCTTGCAAAACCACCATAAATCATCCGCTTTGGGACTTGATTTGCCCCCAAAGCTTACCCTTATCCTTTCAACATTGTTTGCCATCTCGATTCTGCCAAGCTAGGCATGCAGTTAGATTGAAAAAAACCACGTAGAAGCCCTTAGGACTGAGCTCCCACAGATCCTGAGAATAGGCACCCCGCATCAGCAACGGTGGCTTCATTTCTCATCAGTATCATCCTTTGTCTCCCATGGCTCAGGACTGCACTTGACTGCTGGTGTTGAAGACTTTTCAGCACGGCTGTGGCTTGTTTCCCTTTTTAAACAGTCCTTTGTGATAGGCCATAGCACCAGGACAGGACAGACCCAAAAAGTGTGTTATCAGAAAGACATAAGGGGAGGGAGTTTTAGGCCTACTTCTCCATTCCCCCATCATCTACTCCTGGTTTTACTGGTTCTTGTGAAAATAGACTTCTGAAACACCAGAACCAAGAAAAATCAATCTCCAGTGTATTTACCACCCAACATCTTCTATACCTTTGCCCCTAAGGCAGCCCTCATAAACAAATCTACCTGTGTGATCTGGAACAAGCACTGAGGAAACCCCAAGTGAGCAGGTTTGGAACCAGACCCGTTCAGACTGCGCTTTGAGCTTACAACTCTTTTGCCCAAACTCCAAGTCCATAGATGACTTATTTGGATAAATTCAAATTTCCAAAGTATGCACATTCTCACACAATGGGTGGGAATCAGCAAAATTCACTAGCAAAACATTGTAAAGTGAATAAAGTCAAGGAAGAATTATAATTGCATGAATATAATTGATTATTTTTGGTTTTGCAGGAGGCTCCGTCTTACAGTTTCTGAGCCTACACCATCACCATGACACACGGTTCCTTACAGTGGACCCAGGACCAAAGACATTCAAATTTTAAAAGGGGTTACCGAGTCCCCACCAAAATTTATACTTCATTTGTTAGTGACATCTTCTCCTTCATCTTCATAAAGCCAACCATTAACACAGAGCACTTTTGAACTTACACACATGAAACATCCCCAATATACAGGACCAGAGTTCAAACCCAGTGTGTGTTTCCATTGTTGAGGCTAAGCTCCTAACAACCCTTTCAGAGCTTCTGAGGGCATCAATCAAATCAGTAAATGGTGTCTAGAATATAACAGTCTTTGGTGATAGGTGCCAAGTAAATGTAAGTGCCTGTGAGTTTTTCTAATGTCCACATCTAGATAAATCTTACCTACTGTTAAACAATTCCCTGATGTTTTCTGTATCCCCTAGAAATAATTTTTGGTTTAAGAGAGAGGAATGATTCTGAGTCCTATGCTAAGGCCTCCTAAAGCTTTTAATCTGTATTGAGATACCATATTAGTGACTGAATTGGTACAAGAGAGTGAGTAAAATGTATTCAAGTTCTTGGGAAGCTTTGGTCCAATGCCCTTTTTCTTACAGTGAGAATTTTACTTCCAGAAAAGGCATATAAAGGCCAAGTTCTGAACTGGTTTCTATGTTTGCCTCTATCATATTCAATAAATATAGAGGGTGCCAAAAAANTGGGATCCGAACCGGGGCCCTCTGGCATCCCAAGCCTGTTCTCGACCATAGCGCCACTCAGCCGGCCCCAGACTTAACTCTTGACTAAAGATGACAAAACTTGTAAAAGGGCCCAGAAGCTGGGCTGGTATGGCAGTATATAAGGACTAAAGCCACTTGCTTTGCGTAAGGAAGGATCAAAGTGCCTTCACCCATTTTTTTTCTGCCTTCATTTATGAAAGATATTTCTCACTGGATACAGAATCCTAGATTGACAAGTTTTTACGTTCAGCACTTTAAAGATGTTGTTCCATTGTTTTCTGGCTTGATTTGATGAAAAATCTGTATCAGTTCTTGTGTTTTATTTTCCTGTATGTAATATCTTTTTTCCTCTCATTTTTTCACAATTTTCTTTTTTATCATTGTTTTCCAGCAATTTGACTATGTGGCTTAGTGTGATTTTGTGTTTATCCTACTTGGGATTTATTAAGCTTCTTGGTTCTCCGTGTTTATAGTTTTCATCAACTTTGGAAAATATTCAGCCATTGGTTTTCAAATATTTTTTCTGCCCTTCTTTCTCCCATGTCTTCTAGAAATCCAATTACATGTTGGGTCTTTGATCGTTTCCCATGAGCCACTGAGGCTCTGTTCATTTTTCTTTTCCTTTTTCTTCTCTCTGTGCTTCAATTTGAGAAGCTTCTGTTGTTATATTTTCAAGCTTGCTAATTTATTCTTTCGTAGAGGCTTCTTTTCTGTTAAGTCCATCCAGTGAATTTTTCAGAAGCTGTATTCTCAGTTACAGACGTTCTATTTGGTTCACTTTTGTATCTCCCACCGTGCTCCTCGTTATGCTCCATTTTTTCTTTCAAACCTTCAGCATTGTTATTGTTGCTGCTGTAAAGTCCTTTTCTGGTGATTCTATCATCTCTTTAATTTCTCAGTCTATTTATATTCACGGACTTTTCCCCTGATTATAGGTCACAATTTCCTGCTTCTTCACATGTCTAGTAATTTTTTACTAGAAGCTATATATTATGATTGCTACATTGTTAAGTATTTGGGCTTTATTGTCTTCCTATAATGAGTATTGAGCTTTGTTTGGGTAAGCAGTTAAGTTTGTAGAACAGCTTGATCACTTCAAGGTTTTTTTCTTTTTGTCTTTTAAATCAATTTTAAGGCATAATTTACATACCAAAAATGCACCCATATTAAACATACAATTCACTGAATTTTGAGAAATGTGTACACAGATGTAAACCTCATTACAATCAAGATACAGTAATTTCCAGGGCCGGCCGAGTGGCTCAGTTGGTTAAGAGCTGGCTTGGGATGCCAGAGGACCCCGGTTTTAGATCCCACATATGAGGNGATTGACTTCTGCAATTACAAGAGGTGCTCAAAGTGGTTACCATCAGCATCCAGACATTTCTGATTATGGTGAACTACTGCTTCAGTAACGTTGATCGAAGTGTCCACTTGTATACATTTTTTTTGGCACCCCCCGGTATTTACCAAGGAGCCCATCTTTTCCCGAGATTGGTAACTATCCTTCCGTGACTTCATATATCTATCATGTAGATGCTAGAAGCCACCTACATTGCTAAAGAAAGGCAGGTATGGTAAAAGCCACCATTAATGCATTCCCTGCATTAGCCACTTCAACTCTGCTTCAATTGAGAAGGATGAAGATAGTTTACAAAGGAAAATAGCATAGCTCCCAGAAGCCAAAAAAATAGTCAATATATCAGAGCAAATCTTCATGTGCAGTAAAACGTTTCCCTAATACATTAACACAGCAGTAATAGGTTAAATTAGTCAGCCAACTTCAAGGTCCAGGAGGATGATATAGTCCATTCACCTGTTTCCAAGCATGTCAATTCAGGATCAAAAATGGATCATGGAAAACTTTCTGACTTCAGGCAGGCTGTAGGGCCAGGTAAAGGTGAAATTCAGACAAATGCAGTGCTTCACAATGCACCTCTCATAAATTTAAGAGTTGGTACCTTTAAAAAACAATGTTCAGCACCTATGTGCAATATACAAACATTTTGCCCCAACATGGTAAGCTAGTAACAGGCTTAAATCTGGTTCAGAATCACAGGAATCAGACTGTCAATGCTGTTCAGCCCAGCGCCAGCAACTTGATGAGGCAAATGGAGTCTAAATTTTATACTTAAAAAAACAATGCCTGGTGCCAAATTCCCAAACAAGTATTCTTATGTAATATCTGGGAGTGGGGGCTGGGGGTATATAATTCTTCTTTAATGAAGCTGGCCTTAAATGAGAAGGCCCTGATTTTTCTATCTAAGTCTATACAGACAGAGACTACTTAGCGCCATTTGTTTCATCTTTTAGGCACTTTTCACCCTTTACTTGTGAAAGGAGATGTTCTAAGTTCTATGGTTTCTAGAGAAGTCAAAAGAGAGTCAATATAACATATTCATTGTTGCATTTGGTAAATTCCCTCTTATAGAAAATAAATCTCATTTCCCTAAATAAGGTAACAATGTTAATTAATTCCAAAAATTTTTTGTTCCACTGATCTTCAAGGAACCCTCTTTGTCTTGGTGCCTTGAGTGCTGAGCTCTCAGGAAATTGTATTATTCAAGATACATCCCCTCTAAAGTCTATCTGCTTAATGCTAATTGTTCAAAAGCATCTTATATATGCTTCTCTTCTACGGGCATAGAAGTAATCAAATTTTTAAAAGTTGGGTGTCTGAATAAGTTCAAACATGTAACTTTTACTTAAATGAAGCTTCTCTCCAGGTATATCTGGTAGTAGTCTAAGCAAAGAGTTGATGTTTCAATGGTTTGCTTGGAGGGCTTTAGTTAAGGTGGTTCATAAATTACCCAACAAAGAGAGGACCCACGCTACAGAGCATTTGCCAATGTCCACAAAAACAGGTGGGGTGAGGGAACAAAAAGGAAAAAAGCCACCATCAGTTTACACTTGAAATAATATTAGCTTATATCTATACAGCTGTCTAGAATTTGCCCAGTTTGCTGTTTTAAAACATTTTCAAATCTTGGAGGGGAATGATTCTATTATAAATTTGCAGGTGAGTAGGATAATATTTAAAAATACACTCAGCAAAGCAAATCATTTAAAGGAAGCCATCTATGCATCTTTTCTTCATTCCTCATGGCTGGAACAGTACAGCAAATGCTGTTCTATAATAGCTAGCAGCACAATCCTAAGTGAATATCACCTGTCATTTCTCATGTCAACTTGAGCTGGGTCAAAAGAAACATCTAAAAGAAAACCGAGTTACTGAGTGGGAATCCTCATACTGCAGATTACATTCAATTTAAAGGTTTAACCAATGAAAACTATAAACGTGACTAGGCAAAGTGGTTTCCAGAATCCCCTAACCACCTTTTAACCTTTATCCAGCCGCTGAGGACACAGTTACAGAAACTCCATGCTATGCCTCAACCCCAAACACGTTTTCTCTGTTGTGCTTCTACACTACTTACCTGGAGACACAGAGAAAGAAGGGAAAATGGACTTAACTGTGAGTCCAAGGAATACCTACTGATTTTTACCCAAAGTAAGGACTCTAGAGATGAAACAGTTAGAGAAACAACTGTAAACACAAAATAAAAGCCACTGAAGCCCTTCTGAAAACTAATGGGGAGAGGGCAATTAATCTGAAATACCAACAACCTTTGAGATACTTCTTCAAACAGGTAGCCCAAGCTGGGTCAAGAAGGAAAATGATGACAGTAGAGTTCTTAGATCAGGTAGGCCAGTTAAGGAATTGGTGTAAGTGCTCACACAATGTTTTCAAGAAAGCTAACAGTGTTTTTTCCCTCCAACTTCTGTCATAGTTTTAGTGTTCATGTGGCTTAAAAATGGCATCATACAAAAAACCTCATACATGGCTGTAAGCTCAATTAGCAACAGAGGTAGTAAACAAAGGAACTCCTAAGAATAAGATTTTAAACTGGATCAAAGTGTGACTGAACATTCAAAACCCTAGAGCCATGTAATCATCCCCAAAATGAACTGTTTTAATTTAAAAAGCTCAAAAACACAATGATAGTGAAGCACTGATGTGCCTTAGGCACAGTCCCAAATCAGCACTGACTTAAAGCTATGTCCTCTCTTTCCAAGAAAGAGAAAGCAGAGAACAAAGTTTATTCCTACAATGGGAAGGGACAGAACAAAAAGAAAACAACCAAAAGGGTGCTTTCCAGCAGCCTATTCTTCTTCGTTTTTCGGCCACGCCACTGGAAATGCTTATTCTTCTTATATCATCAGTCTTTTCTTCACAACCTTTATTTTTTAAAAACTGCAATCGGCTGAACGAGAGATGCCCACATTTCCACTGGCAGGAGAGCAACTTCTGTGCAGTTTTTGCTTCCTTGGTGTGGGTCCTCCTTCCCTGAAAGTGCAAAGAGAGCAAGCCTACACCTGCAGGGCCCAGAGCCCCAGGACTGTTTCAGCTCCACATGTAGAGCAGGCGAAGGATTTGCTGCATTTGTGCTTCGTAGATACAGCTCACTTTGGTTGTCCTTCTCAGTTGGCAAACTGCTCATAAAAAGCAAACTTGATCCTCTCTATGTGATGGCAAAGTTTAATGGCAGGGCCCAATTTTAAGTCCATGCACTCTTGAACAGTGGGAAGGGTGAGGAGCAGCAGGGCCTGCCCATCAATTTCCTGTTAAAGCATAAAATACAAATTATCTATGATGTGCACATGAATGGCAGCGCAATCATGACTGCCCCCATTAACTTTGGCTTTGTCAAAATCAGAGTCCCTGTGCTTTTCTTTCATTACTTTCCCCCTTTGAGTAAGTATCACACATTTCCTTTGAAATGCCTCTCATAGTCCCTCATACTAATTAATTTTCAGAATTAATAACAAAGTTTTACCAAGGATAAGAATCCATTCTATAGTTTCTGCTCTGCAGAAATTTAGTAAACTAGAAAAAATGGGATTGCAATGATAACCTGCTTCAACTATAGAGGAAGTCAGATAAGTAACTTTATGACATATTTGTACTCCTAAAAATGGAACTAAAATAATTTTTTTTCTTTTGCATAGAATTATTTTTCCTAAGACTTACAAATAAATTGCTATTACTACATCCATAGTCCTTTGCTAAAGAAATTTATTACTAAAAAGGGAAGATCTTGATGATTACCTGGTCTAGGAATATTCTTGCTAATGGAGCACAGTCCGTGGATCTGATGAACCGCACAACATCGGCCACGCTCCACTTCAGGGGGTTACTGTCCAGGTGAAGCCTTTCAGCAACTTCAATCCTTATTTCCTTCATTCCCCACAACAAAATCAAAGCAAATGGTATAAGAGCTATTTTATTCTAAAAAAGTCACTCTATATAAATTCATAACCCCTCTAGGCAGGATTTAAAGTGGTTTTATGACATGGTTTCTCCAGGAAAGGCAGCAAAGGCCCATACACACTAGGTACTCAGGGAATTGCTGTCTTATAATAAGAAATACCAATGGGGAAGAATGTATGTCAAAGTTTCAGCGGAAACAATTTAGGCAATTTAACAGAGGAAAAATCATTTTTAAATCTCTCATTTGTTCCTTGGTCTATTTCAACTCACTCTCTGTCAGGGTGCTAAAGTGAATGGGGTGATATTTCCAATGAGAGAAGGCTTAGCTAAATTATCAGGAGAAATCATTTATTGCTTCTGTTCATAGATCATATTTAAAAAGCAACCCAGTTTTAAAACACTAACTGCCATTCTTTAGTGCGTATGTATATGTACATATATGTATATGTTAAATATACTAAACACAATGGTTTAACCAGAATCAAAAGGATATATTTCTATGAAACCATTATATTTCTATAAAACCATACATATCATGGAAAATATTACAAAGTCAGTTCTCCCTAAACTAAATGACAAGTCTACAAATAAACTCACAATGAAACATTCTTTAAATTAAAACAAGCAGCCACTCTGAGACCTTCCTCCTGATAAGTAGTTGACCTCCAAATAATCCTTGAAACACAAGTAAATCACCGAATTTGGAATCATTTAAAAAGAGATCCAGGAAATTCAACTGAAGCCTGTATTAAAATAAGTGGAATGCCAATATCATTAACAATTAGATTCTACAGGGAAACTCAAGAGAAAGAAAAGAGAAGAGAAGAGAAGAGAAGAGAAGAGAAGAGAAGAGAAGAGAAGAGAAGAGAAGAGAAGAGAAGAGAAGAGAAGAGAAGAGAAAAGANAGAGAAGAGAAGAGAAGAGAAGAGAAGAGAAGAGAAGAGAAGAGAAGAGAAGAGAAGAGAAGAGAAGAGAAGAGAAGAGAAGAGAAGAGAAGAGAAAAGACAGTGTATTTTTTAAATGGGTACCTTTGGTGAAGGAGGTTTATTCTCATCATCAGAAAATGAAAATGTGCGAAGCTCTCTTTTTCTCCTTTGTCTGTCTGGAGGCATCGATGTGGATATCTCACTTTGGGTGGGAGAGGAGGAACATGACTTTTTCTCTGACATTTCTGACTCTTCCTGTAGCTCATCCTGCTGCTCAGATGTACTGCCCTCACTTAGGGAGTCGTCATCTCCTTCATCTGGGTCATCCTCATCTTCACCCCCACTTCCCTAGAGGAAAAGGAGAGGTCTCATTGAAACTCAGGACAAACCAATTCTGGGGCCACAAAACCATCTTGTATTGGCCAGAGATCTGAATTAGAAAGATCTACAGGTATTCTTTCTGAGTCTGTATTGTAAAGCAATGATCTCTTGGCTTCTAGACGTTATAGGCCCATCAGATCTCGTACCTGGGGAGAGCCCGCCGGGGTATTATCAACAGATGCAGAAGAGCGCTTCTTCTTATGAACAAAAACATTTTTCCGCCTCTTTCTCCTCTTACTGGCTTTTTTCAGAGCACATGCTAAGTTACTATGCCCACCAGGTGGCCTCCCAATTCTTTTACTTTTCTTCTTTCCATAATAGTGTGCTAAATGTGAATGATAAAGAAAAATCAAGTCGTTTCATTATTTTTATACACCTCAAACTACAGGAGATTCTATATTAGCACAGCAGAAAACAGGTACACTGTATTTGATTCAAGTATAAATTCCAGACAGCAGAGTACTCTTAATTGTACAGATCTCAAATATACTGTTTGATTGTACTGACAGAGGCATAAACCTGAATAATCCTTCCCAATCAGGACACAGAGTACCTCCATCAACCTAGAAAGTCCCCAGGGGTCCCTTCCTAGTCAGTCCCCCTCATCAGAAGCAACCCTTATTCTGTTTTCCATCACTATGCGTTAGTTTTGCCTCATCTATGGAACCATGCAATAGGTACTTTACGTGCAAGGATTCTTTCCCTCACCATGTTTTTTAGCTTCACCTTTGCTGTTGTGTGCATGAGTGGCTCATTCCGTCATATTGGTGAATAGCACTCCACTGTATGAATATGCCAGTTTATCTGTTCTCCTGTTGATGGGCACCTGGGCTGTTTCCAGGTTTGAACCATTAGTAAGTTGCAATGAACATTCTGGTACCAGGCTGTTAGTGGACATGTTTCCATTTTCCTTGGATAAATATCTAGGAATGGAATTGTTGGATCATATGATAGATGTATGATTAATTTTTAGAGAACCTCAGTTTCCCAAAAGGGTTGTATAATTTTCTTTTCTTTGATTTGGGGAATTGGGGAAGGGAACAGCGTTGAGGAATCAGGGCCGTCACCAGCCACTCATGGCAGCCCAGCTCCAGGTCGAGCTGTTGTTCACCATCTTAGCTGTACAGGGCGCAGCGTCACTGGCCCATGTGGGACCTGAACCTGCAGCCCTGCTGCTCAGAGCTCCGGCTCCCAAGCCAACTCTTAACCAACTGAGCCACTCAGCCGGCCCCAAGGGTTGTATAATTTTACACTCCCACCAGCAATGTATGAAAGATGTAGGTGTCCTACACCTTGGCCAGAATGAGATTGTCAGTCTTTTTCATTTTAGCCAATCTAGTGGGTATACAGTAATTTCTTATTGTACTTTAAATTTGCATTTCCTGGTTCTTCCTGTGCCACCTGGGCCAGCACCATGGTGAAGCTGAGCAAAGGGGCCAAGCAGAAGCTGCAGCAGCTCTTCAAGGGCAGCCAGTTTGCCATTAGATGGGGCTTTATTCCTCTCATGATTTACCTGGGATTTAAGAGGGGTGCAAGTCCTGGAATGTCTGAACCCATTGTTTTGAGCTTACTCTGGGGATAAAGGACTATTTGGTCATCTGGATTTGGAAGCAATCAGTGGACATTAACAACATGGAAGGTATGTGCTCTGGCTGGGTAAGAGATGGGACATGGTTCAGATGTTCACCAACTGAATGGCACGGGGCTCTTCTCACATGCATCTGTGCCATTCACATGCAGAGTGGAACCTCTCCTGACTTATTTATGATAGACTGTATCAAAATAAATGTTTTCAAAAATGTTAAAAACAATTTGCATTTCCCTGATAACTAATGACATTGAGCATTTTATCATGTGCTTATTGGCCATTTGCATATCTTTTCCTGTGAAGTGTCTATTCAAGTCTTACTCATTTTTTATTTCTTTCATTTTTTGAGATATAATTCAATTAACATAAAATCCATCATTTTAAAGTGTACATATTCAGTGGTTTTTAGTATACTCACTGTGTTACTGTGTTGTACAACCATCACCACAATCTTTTTTTTTTTTTTTTAAGATATTTAGTGGGGAATTGAGGGATGGGAACAGCGCTGGGGAATTGGGGGAAGGGGAACAGACAAGTTGCTGTCCTTTTGTTCTTCAGTCTAGTTGTGGAGGACGTTGNTCTTATACGGCGAGTATATAACAAACTCTGTATTTTGAGTGGAAATGTTAGGGGGTCGTCTTATACGCCCAGTCGTCTTATACGCCGGCAAATACGGTAGGTTGCCCAAGGGCACTACAAGGCAGAAGCAGAAAAGGAAGCCAGGTCAGGCTGGTTCCAGAGCCAGGGATCCTGCTATTTTTAACCACCTGTAAAACTCTTCCAACACGACTTCATCTTCATGCAAATATTATACAAATTGCAAGGGATTTTAAACAGATCATTAAAGCAGTAGAGGCTTGATAGGCTCCTATAGGGCAACACTTGACAAACAGATATTTAAAACGCTAAAAAATGCATTTCATTAAATTATTCTACAATTCAGATTGTCCCTTAATTCAGACAACACTCTCGCCTTGATTTTATTCCAAGTTAATGAAGTCTGATGATAATGGAGATCGCCATTATGAATGAACGTTACAAGATAAATCAGCATTTAGAAAACCTGAAGTTTCTAAAAATAAAGACCCCTAACCAGCCCCCATGCTATAATGTTGGCCATACTCTTCCTCCGTGGGCACAGTACCAGCCTGGGACAGAAAAGGGATGTTCTCTCTTTGCCTTGGCTGGCATTCCGGAAGAAGGAAAGGAAACCAACATTTATTGAGTGTGTTGGGTGCCAGGCCCAGAGACAGGCGCCTTCACTCATGAGCTGCAGCTCCAAATCAGCCATCACTGGGTTTCATTATTTTACCAGGAAGAGGTGGTCACTGAGTGAAAATTTACTGGGGAACAGGGCATTTACAGGATCTCAACATATCACCACCACCACCACCACAGAGATAATTTATTAACTGCAAAGGAGAAAATGTGCCTTTATAATGGTGAGATCTAGAGACCTCCCCACTAGGCGCAATAATTGACCTTATTATCACTTGTAGTGGGATTGCTTGATGTCACGTGCCTCCTGGTGCGATGTAATATGAAGCACACAGCACTGCTTATGGATTGTTCTTGCTGTAAAAAAGGCTATTGGAATCTAATAGCTCCTCCAGACCAAATTCAGGAAACACCGGGGTCAGCAAAACAGCTCAAACATCACAGGAAAACACCCAGACAACTCCAGAATATGAGACGCTGTACATGACAACCGGCCAGGACTCTTTAAAAAGGCAATGTCATNTCCTCCACAACTAGACTGAAGAACAATAGGACAGCAACTTGTCTGTTCCCCTTCCCCGATTCCCCAATGCTATTCCCCTCCCCAAAGTCCCCCAATAAAAATCTAAAAAAAAAAAAGAAACTCATTTAACTATGTAAGTTTCGCTCTATTTCTGGGTCCTTTATTTGGTCCCATTACTCTTTTTGACTGTTCTCTCATCAATACCCAACTCTTGATTACTATAACTTTACGGTAAAACTTGAAGTCAGAAAGAAGAAGTCCTCCAATTTTCTTCTTTGTTTTCAGGGTTATTTTGACTTTTCTAGAAGCTTTGCATTTTCATATGAATTTTAGAATATATAGATAATTCCAAAATGAAACACATACATTCTAGCTCTGAATTATATATTAAAGCAATATCAAAATATAATGTAATTTTTTGAAAAAAATGAATTCTAAAGGATATATATCCATTTCATATCACTCAAATTACTAATTGGGAAAAATTATAAAGACTCTCTCCTAGTATCTAAGCTAATTTCAACTATATCATTGTGAAAAATAAATGCAGACAAAAAGCATTAGAAAATCCACATATCTTTCAAAGGCTCAAAGTGCTATAGTTATATATACACTTATATGAATACTATATTTCACTTACCTACTAATAATTGCAATTTTATTTTGGCAATTTGCTAAACTAAGAATCTAACACAATAATAAGCTAAGACAATTCCTGCCCTTAAGGAGTTTACAATCCAATAAATAGAAATAGAAATAAGGTTAGACTCGCATATGATTTTGTGATTAAAAAGCTCATCATGCTAAATGTGGACCTTGGACAGCAATATCAGCAGCGTCTGGGAGCTTTTTGGGAGTGTAGAGACTTGGGACCCAGATCTACGAATCAGAACCTCCATTTAACAAGATCCTCAGTTGATCTGCATGCATAATAAAGTTTAAGAGGCAGAATTAGAGAGCCCTAAAAGCAATGTTCAGATATAACAAGGTGAAATCCTCCTCTGTATTAATTTTCCCAAGTGACATCAGAGTTTATAGGATTTAAGGAAAGGTAGAATCAGAATTTTGTGTTTGGATAACAATGGCTTGACAAAGTTCTAAATTGGAAATCTCATCCTGTATGATTTGTTTTTTTGTTGCAGTTTCACAAGAGGAGATAAGCAATGAGAAGGAATAGGTGTTATAACAATTCACAATGAGGTCCAAAACTACCCCCTCCTGCTATCTGCACCTCTCAGCCAGTGTGGCTCCTTTGCTGTCTCACAGACACTAAGCATGTTCCTGCCTCAGACTCTTGCTGATCCTTACCTAGAACTGATTCTCACCCTATGTCTGCAAAGCTGGCTCTCTGGCTTCCTTCAGGAAGACTTCCTTGACCACCTGACCACCTGTACGAAGAGCATCCCACCTCCTAGCCTTCCTCACTCCCTACTTTGCTTGCTCATCTTACTTCATTTTTATCCACAGTTCTTATCTCTCTCTATTCGTTCACTTGTTTACTACCTGTCTCCCACATTAAAAAGTAAACTCAGTGAGGACAGGAACTCTTTTTCCTTACTATTACATTCCAATGCTAGAACAATGACAACATACAGTACACACATAATAAATACTTGAGGATTGTAGCAATGAATTACATATCCTAATAGGTGCCATAGCTAATTTATATACATGTTATATATAAAAGTTGGCAAAATCTGGCTCATGACCTGTTTTGGCATGGCCCTCAAGCTAAGAATGGTTTTTAGATTTTTAAAAGGTTTTTTAAAAAGTGAAAAAACAAAAAAAGAATATGCAACAGAGATTATATGATCCACAGCCTAAGATGTTTATTATCTGGATCTTCACAGAAGTTTGTGTACCTCTGCTATATGTGATTGTCTGCAAAATAAACATTTTTCAGTAAATAAAGTATGGTCAGCTGTGATAGTTAACAAATTTGAAAAAGATGACTCACTATATTTGGTCTTCGTAAGTACAGAGCAGTTCTCAGAACACTTATCCAGAACCATCCGTGGACCGAATAGGTTAGGACAGCACTCCAGTTTGATACAGGTCTGCCGGCAGAATTCAGTCACCCGATCTGCTGTTTTCACTATCTCAACAGTAGCCCGATAACTCTTCCCTTTGTATCTGCCATTGGAACACATCAGATACCAAGTTTATCAGACTAATGATTACCCAGAGAAAAATCAAGTATATTAACAGACCTAAAAACAATAGATTTCATGCATTTTGTACTTAAATCAAATTTATCATCTAGTAAGCTATGACAACTAAAAACTGTTATTTAAATGAGCAAAATAAGGTTTTTGCGTTCTGTTCCTAAGTTTAAGGTATTCAAATAGCAACTTCTACGCTAACTACTAAAAGAAAGTGACTTTAAGTCTTTCTTTACCCTAGGGCAGTGATCCTAAGAGTGTGGTCCCTGTACCAATATAACCTGCCAACTATCATCCATCCTTGACAAGATCAGGTCAGAAAACAAGAGTAAATGTTTATAAACTGTCACAGTAATTTGAAAAAGTAGTTTTATGTCTCTTAAATCTAATTTAAAAATCGTTCTTGTATTTTATGCATTTTAAATTTCCCATTTCTTGTGCTTTTTACCATATCTTATAAAGGCATTGGAAACTTAAAAAAGAAAACAAACTAGCTCCTTTACACTTTGTGAGGAGTGAAAAATATAACTATTGCATTGTTTTGTACATCTGAAACTAATAAAAAGATTTTTTAAAAAATAGGTCCTTTGGCACAAATAACTGAAGAAGCACTGCCCAAGGAAACATAAGTATTCTAATATTATCCATGGAAGAATTGATTTTGTGACTTGCTGAGGATGAATATGCATCAAGGGCAGAGGAGCCTACTCACTTGGCTTTTAGGACTTCCCCACATCCATGCCACACAGAGTCTTTATCCAGCTGCAGCTCCCGAAGGACACGACTAGGTTTATAGGCTGCATTGATAAGTAAAGTGAGGACCTGAGTTCCGTTTTTAAAGCAAAAAGTAGGGTTGGGAAGGAGAAAAACAGACCATTAGAATCTCGCTATCCCCTAGCACGTCATTTAGGAGATTAATTCTAGTCATATTAATTAACAAAATAATAATACTGGAGATATGACAGCTGACCAAAATTACAAATAAGAGAGTAACTAGACCCTCTTAAATATTCAAAGCATTTTTAGATAGAAATAGGTACCATTAACTTAAAATTACTCTAGTATATGCCTCCAAATCTTTTCCGTCATAGTACACACAGAAAATTGTATTTGTTTGGGACACTGTGTAGACAGCTGAGCCTTCTTGTGGCTGGAGAAAGTCTGACCCAGAAGCTCCAGCCTCCCCAGACCCTGTTGCCACCCTAGGGGATGAAAAGTTCAGTACTCGTCACATATGTTACCCTCAGTGTGGCACCCTGGCTGGGAAGCTCTGCAAATCCAGCAGATGTGTAGCTTTATCACGGTCCTGGGTTACACAGTCTCTCAGTCATAGACTGACTATTCTCAAATTCACTCTTGCAGAGTTCTCATGTAGTCTCTGACAGAAGACCTTTCTACACTGATGGAGGTGAACTTGCTATATAAAGAGCTGCTTAGGTGAATGTTCCCTGGGGAGGGGAGAAATAAGTGTGTGCCCAGTTCATTGTCCAACATAATAAAAATTAATCACTTATGATAAAACCTAGAGTTGTCACATCTATGGCATGCAGATAGATCCGTGTATGAATAAGTCTATGAGAATGCTATGAAATTTCCAACTTCTTTTGCTCTAGTCCAGAACCTTACCTCTCTGAGGACCAGAACACAGTTCCCAGGTCCTACACACTGAGGCAGCTCAGCAATTCTTCCTTTGTTAAGATATGGCCCTGAGAAGCAACGGTGGTTGAAGTATATCTTTGGACAGCAATATTTTCCATTAATTATAACTGGGAAATTAAGAGAAACAAATAATCAGAACAGAGTCATTTTCCACTCCTTTTCAAAGGCGAATTACTTTGGGCGGGGGAGCTGGGAAACAAGCATAGCAATCATTTCATAAAGTTAGGAATTATATCTTTTGAAGCTTAACATGTTGTCTGAGAGTGCCCTTGAAATACTTACATAAACTATTACAGAGCTTATCCCTCTGCTGAAATCAAAAGATGTCCTGAATTACGTGTAACTCCTGAGTTAATGTAACACTGTTCCAGAGCCATATATTTCTCAATAAAGGAAGTGGAGGACCTATGATGATTCCTGACAACTAACTATTCAATAATCTATTTTGGAATTATTTCTGGGGAATGATAATATTATCCAGAACTATAGTTTGTCCCCTTAATCCACTAAACCTGTATGTATGATGGCAACCTTCGATGATATGGGAGCCCTCCTGTTTCTGGGATTCCTTAGAGGGCTGAAAGTATGCTGTGATCATAACTTTAAATTCTTTAAGTACTGTGGGCTACAACTGGGCCTCAAGACCCCTCTCTATCTGCTTTTCTGTATGAATACCGTACTTCAATATGATGGGTTTTTTTTAACCCCTTCACATAGTGATTGGCAATTCAGCTAATGAATGTAAAAAATTCACAGACACTAAAACATTTCATATTCATATCAAGCAGGGAGAAACTCTTCTGATGGATACTGCCCTGTTAATCCAACATTAAGTAAAGGAGATGTGTGTGTACACTGCCCACTGCTGATAAAACCCTGAAGTACATAACGTTTACTCTAATTAATGTAGTCTTAGCACAGTGGTTAGCATGTCGGCACCCACTTCTCTATTTGAACTCTGCCACCCAGATGGCCCTTTTCAAGATTAAGGCTCCCTGCTGCTGGGAATGTTGGAAGTTTATACTCTTCAGTTGTAAATCCATCCTGGAATTACCCACAGCCCAGGACTGCCCTCAGGAGGAGAGCCATCCTGCTGAAGGTCCCACCCTTTGTGAGGTGGGGAGGGAGCAGCAGCCTACTTCCAATAACTGACCAATGAAGGAGTACCAAGGTGTGTACACCACACCTCAATTAGGGACGACTCCAAGTGGCTATGCCAGTTCCAAGGCTCCCTGGAAGAAACTTCTGTTACAACTGCACTGTGGCTCAACTACTCCCTCTGTCTAGTGCTGCTTCCTTTACCCCTCCCAGGAGCTGGTTCCAAAAGCACTGCTCAATGAGACTCCTACATATAAATATCAGTCTCAGATTCTGTTTCCAAGGTAACCTGACCTATTACAAAACCCAAACCAAAAAGAATTTGGCTGTGGTCATGTGGGAGATATTAATGTCTTAATTCTGTAGTTTTAGTAGGTATTAGAATGGCCAGTAATACATAAAAAAACAAGGCGTTACACAGTCCTGATCCTCTATGTATAAGTCATATAATGAAAAGGGACTGGGTAGAAGAGACAAAAAGTGCAGGTTTTGAATTTGAGAAAGATTTGAGTTCCATTTCTGACCCTTCTACTCTTAAGTTGTTTGACCTCTCTAAGCTTTGGTTTTTTTCTTTTCTAGGCATTTACTAAATACCATCGAAATGCCTAACCTATACTATTGTAGAATACACACAGCCAAGATGCCAAGCATTATACAACCAGCAAAGGGGGTCCAGAGTAGCTCCAGGGAGAGATCGCTGGACAAAAGGTTTGGGCCTCCAGAAAGGATCCTTGTCTCGCTCATCAGGCATTGACTCTGGGACAATCTGTTTTCCAGTGCTTTATTTTTTAAATTGTGAAATATACAGAGGGTGCCCCCAAAAAATGTATACACATTTTAAAAAAGGAAAAAACTGTAATAAAATTGTAATAATATATACTGATAACAAAAGATGAATACAAGTCATGGGTATACATTTTTTTGGCACTCCAGGTATATACAAAGTATGTATATCATAAAAAGGGTTTAAAGAAGAATAAACACCTACCTCTCAACCACCTCACCTAAGAAAGAGCACTGCCTGGAAAGCGTCAGGCTCTTTACCTAAACCCGGGGATAATAATATTGACTTCCAGAGATCTTGCCACCCAGTAAGTGATCAGTAAAGAATCGCTACAATTATTACAAATGCACAGAGATATCAGCCTAAAGATAATTATTAAACTAAACTTATTATTAAACTAAACTCAGACAATTATAACTCTTTACAATCACAATTAAGAGATCCCCTCTATGAAGCTACAGCCTATAAATCAAATGTATTGTTTAAGTTATTTTTAGATATAGTCCTTTAAAGGAAACTAAAGGTCCTCTTTTCCCTAAGATTGCATGAACTTATACCTGAGTCTGTGGTGTTCAGCTCCTGATTCTTCAGGCCCTCATGGACAGTCCTCGAGGATGGTATTCTGGGTCAAGAAAATGTAACGAAATAGTGAGATAATCCTTAAGGTTAGTAAGGTGTGAGGGTTAGAGGGTTAGTTTCCTTCAAATCTAAGAAGAAAGCAAATATGGCAGATTGCAAAATCTGTAACAGAAGGTCCTTCCTTAATCATACTATTTTTTTTTAATAATTGTTT